GAAAATCGCAACGAGAGAATCGCAATGCGAAATGAAAATCGCAACGACAAAATCGCAATGCGAAACTAAAATCGCAAAGCGAAACTAAATTCGCGTTGCGATTTTCATTTCGCTTTGCGATTCTCTCGTTGCGATTTTCATTTCGCATTGCGATTCTCTCGTTGCGATAGTAATTTCTGCGTTGCGATAGACATTAAGATGATTGCGAACGTCATTTCTGTGTTGCGATAGTCAAATGAATGCTTAATAAGTGATAACAACTGAACAGATCATATCAATTTTCAAACTCAAGTTACTAATACATGCCTAACTGAAAATGTTAAAAGTTCACACATAAAATCCACATAATACAACGTTTGCATTTAAAAATCACCTAAGTTAACAGTCCCAAAAGGTGAAGCCGGTTGTGATTGGGATTTTAAAGATGATTGTGATTTTGATTGCCTTTTGCTTGACACCATATGAGCTTTGGATTTTGATGAGGATCCATATTTTGGTAGAGGAAAAGATGATTGTGATGGCACTGGTGATCCATATGTCAACCTTGTATGACCACTTTCCTTGCACCGACTACATGTCGATCTTTTCTTCTCTTCACCCTTAGACGGTATACGATCGTGACTTTTTGGTCGGCCAGGTAGCCTTCTGTCCATGGCTGGTGGCAAAACTGTTTGTAAGTCATCTGGTATGTCCCACCCAGAAGGATGTGGAATAGGGTAGACAATCTCTCCATAAGTCTGTCGATATACTTCTGTAGTGTAGCAATCTATAGCGTATGCGCTTGAATCATCTTGGTTTAGATGAAGAGAAACTTTTATAACATGGCCACACGGATAACCAGATGTTTGCCATTTCATACAACTACACGTCTTTGTATTTAGATCGACAAGCCCATTTAAGTTATTATCCAGTACTTCAAACAAAGTGTTTGAACATGGTTCAACTCTCCATGACGTTGACTTCACAACACGTTTCGTTATCTTTTTTTCTGTCCATGGTGTAACACGATGTTCCTATGTTCCTGTAAATTTAAATAAATAATACTTAGTAAAATATATGATAAGTTACGAATTTAAAGAAATAATACCTATATGGTTTCTTTCTTGTAGTACCACTGTTGAATAGAGGCTCGAAAAACTCCATTAACATAGTAATGGGTAATTTCCGGGAATGACTTATAGCGTTGATTGATTCTGAACTATTAGACGTCATGAAACCATATCTTGCTCCAAGTTGATGTACTCTTGACCATCTTTCAAACCCGACATCTTTTAGTGTTTGAGCACACTGAGGCAAAACACGTCTTAAACAGTTTATATGCTTATTAAAATCCACTTCCCGATAAGCTTTTACAGCCTTCCAGTATGTCAATTTGTGATTTTTTATACCAGCAGACCTTGATTTTAGATTTATATACAAATGAACACCACAAAGTCCATGAAAAGCATCTGGGAAACACCTTCTAACAGCATTGCCAATTGAGTTTGCCCTATCGGATATGATTGTCAGATTGCTAATAGGACCTATGCAATCCCTAAGATGCCCCATAAACCATGTCCATGAATCAGAGGTTTCAGATTTGCCAACCCCGTAAGCTATTGGCAATATCCCATTGTTAGCATCCATGGCTACTGCTAATAAGTTTACTCCAAGGTATCGACCTTTTAAATGTGCCCCGTCAACTATAATAACTGGGCGCATGCAATTAATAAACGAACGAATCTACAAAATCATATACACAAGAAATATAATCATTTAAATGTGAAATGCATGTAACTAACAAAAATGAGTCAACAAAATTATATTGATTTACTAACCGTAGCACCAATGGCGATAAACAACAACTCAAAGCGTCCATCTCTATCTGTTTTGATATGAGTTACCGACCCAGGATTTTTCAACTTTAAATTGTGACAATAAGCCGGCAGTTGGGCAAACGATGCTTCTGGCGACCCCCTCAACAATTCCAAGGCATAACATTTGGCTCTCCAAGCTTGAGAATATGAGATACTAATCTTGAACCGAGCATTCATGTCAGTCATAATTTCATGTCCCCGATATACCCTACCATTCAAAACATTAACTCAGCCAGAAAACCACCCAACACCTTTTTGTTTTCCTCTCTATGGTGAGGAAAAACTTGGGTTCTTGAACATGTATGTTTATCAATAAAAGTCCTAACTTGAAACATTTTGCAATCTTTTATCCTCTTTGCAATCATACGCCACATACAGTTTTTGTCAATCATACACCTTGTTTCGAAACGATCTTTGCTTGATTTGTTAACTTTTAGTTGATAGCCATCTTCCACACATTTCGTATACAAAACTATCTTCAAGTCTTCCTTTGTATCAAAACAATCATCTTTCTTGATACGAATAATTTTTGTGTAACAATCAACTGCTATCTTTACCAACACTTCTTCTGGTATCTGAAGTAATTCTTGCATATTCCAGTTATACTCCCGTGGCCTTTTCTTCGGGGACTTTTCTTTGGGGATTTCTTCTTCTTCTTTTTCTTCTTCAGTGTTATATGAATTACAGAATGGATGTTCAACATGTTTATTTACAGTCGTAACTTCCTCCTCATTATCATCAACAACATCTTCATCGGCAACGGCTGTTTCATCATCAAAATTTGGGTATTGACCAATATCAAAATCATTACACGCAGGGTTTGTTTCTTCTTCTGAAAAATCATCAAAATCCGAGTATTGACCAAGATCAAAGTCCGGGTATTGACCAAGATCAAATTTCGAATACTGACTAGTACTCACAATTTTTTTTGTTAGCTCATTATCGTCTAACTGGTCAATACGAAAACTGGAATTTGGTGCTGAAAGTTGATTGAGATTTGGATTAGGGAAAGGTTGTGGGTTTTGAGATTGTGTTTGGTATTGAAAATGTGGTGAAACAATATTTGCTTGGTGATGAAATTGTGGTGGAACCATTAAATTTTGAGCACCATAAACTGGGGTTGAAAAACTTAGTTGATTACTACCCGCTACTGACCCAACTTCACTACTTCTAGGTTTAACAACATACAATGTAACATCATCACTTGAAACACTAATGTAAGCAATGAATCGTTCAACATCTTCATTGTCGGTTAACAAATAAACTTTACCATTTCTCTGATAAGATAGCCTAAATCCACTTAGGGGCTCTAAATTCAATTTATTTGCAACACGTAACATTAGAGTTTCATAAGTTAACTTTTTTAATGACAATTTTAGTTGAAGATTCATGGGTAAAGGCATATATTGTAAAACACCATGAACGTTCTCCCATGACCCTCCAAAACACAAATCTATCCAAACATGATCAACATTAGATGATTTCATTATTGTAAATTAATTTACTAAACAAACGAGCTGCGAAACTAAAACCTGTTGCCGGATGGGGAAGGATGTCGTTGGATATAGGAACGGATGTCGCCGGAGAGAGTGATAGATGGAGATGGAATGAGTTGCGATTTAGGGATTTAGGTTATGAGTTGCTGCTGCTGTGTAGTTATATACCCAAAATTTTTGTGTTGCGAAATTAAAGCATGTTGCGAATTCAGAAATCGAGTTACGAATTTAAATTTCAGTATTGCGAATTAGGAAAATCGCAACGCGAATTTAGAATATTATTATAATATAAGTTGATTGAATATTAGTTTAATTGACATTATTATTATAATATATAAAAATTATAAATTCAAATATATTTAAATATAATTATATTTTATAATAATGTTAAAAGTATATAATTTTTTAAAGATTTTAAAGTTTTCTCTTTTATCAAATGCATTTGGAATTTGATTCTCAAGACTATTTTACATAAAAACCAACCTTAATTGATTATTCAAAATTTTATTAATTGAAAGGAGGGTCCAAGTCTAGTTATTTTATCGCATAATCTTGACATGACAATTCTTAAAATTCGAAAATATATATTATCCAAATTATTATCTATAATGGTCGGATATGGTCGGATATGATAATATTTTATTCGACAAAATTGGTTGATATAGTATAAAACGAAAAAAATGATATGAATGACTAAGATTAACTGTATAAAATGCGAAACCAAAATCGCATTGCGATTTATGTATTCTCGTTGCGATTTACGGATACGCGTTGCGATTTTACGTATTGTCGTTGTGATTTACGGATACGCATTGTGATTTTACGGATACTCGTTGCGATAGTCAGAATCGCGTTGCGATTTATATGTTCGCGTTGCGATTTTCATATTCGCGTTGCGAGCGTTGCGATTTTCATATTCGCGTTGCGATTCTGGAAAATCGCAATGCGAATTTGTATTATCGCATTGCGATTCTTCATAATCGCGTTGCGATTCTGGGAACTGATTTGCGATTCTGGAGATCGCGTTGCGATATTTATTTCGTATTGCGATTTTGTTGGTTATTTTGGCAAATCCAAAAAAAGTTGGTTAAAATCGTATATTATAAGGCATTTTTGGTCATTGAGGTTATTTTCTCTAAAATAAAGTCTTGTCCTCACAAATTTCAGGTTTAAATGCTTATTAGGTCCCTCATCAGTTTGAAGTTACAAAATTTAACTCCTCTCGGTATTCAATCTTTATTCCGTCCCTCAACTAAATTTTAGATTTTGGAATAGAATACATAACTACTGAGGCACTGGACAGATTTAAACTCTTTACTAATTTATAAAAATATTAAATTATTAATTTTTTTTTTTTTAATTTTGTACATATAAATTGTTGAATAACTGATTTCCATATCAATGATTTCGGTGTTAAAACTGAAAGCTGAAAGCTACAGTGTCTGAGATTAAAGAAGAGAAATGCAAAGGACAAAAAGCAAGTGCTGCAGCCACTCATGATAATATGGGTATGTAAGATTTGAATGGTTTAATTGATTTCTGTTCTAAATGTTTCTTCTTCTAATGTTCAAAGCTCTCTACTTTGTGAATTTTCTGTGAAAATATAAGAAAAATGATTCATCGTTAACCAAACCTTCTCTTCGAAGAACATGTTTAGTTGTCAGCAAACAATAACAATCGTCAAGCAATTCTTGCCCTTTACGAAACAGAGTGTTTACATAGGATTGGATTAGCCAGACCTACTAAAAAAATGAAAAAACTGCTCTTTTCTTGGCTTTTACTGTATCAACTTTATGGTTTCTGCAGCCATTTTTAGTGCTGGAAGCTTCTATGAACAGTTCAATGATGATGTTAAACTGATGAAGTACTCTTCACTACATGGGATTGTAAGACCCCCCATTGGATGGTTAAATCCAAATTCCTCCTCGGCTCTATTCAAAAGGTCTTGAAACAATGTGTGGCTCAAGTAAGATATAGGAATCACAAATCTTTTCCTATTGCCTTCCCCTACATAAACTGCAACATGGCCTTTCGGAACATTCGATGTCGTCATTGCATTCCCGATTCGCCCTGAGAGCGTTCGCTGCAACTTCTGTTTCGCTTGAGCTAGACCAGTTAATTGAATACCCATCTTAGAGAAGAAGAAGAAGAAAAACAAGATAAAAGATTTGATTTTTAAGTGATGAACTGTTTTTGAAGAGTGAAAAGACTTGGTCTGAAATTTTCATCTTTACTGGCTAAATATATATATAGTGAGAGGGGGAGATTGTTTATTGGAGAATGTTTTGAAAAACATATCAGGTGAAGCAGTTGTTAAGTTTCACATGGTTCGGCTTTGTCTGTTGCTAGGCATTGCTGGCCTACGACCTTGAGAAACCAATAAAAAAGGAGACTACAACTTGTGAAATTATATATATATATATATACACATATAGTTTCCCTATGTTTTGAATTTATGCACTCCTGTTGATCTTAGTGCATGCTTAATTCTCTAAAGCATTGAATTTAGACTTTTGTTCCATAAGTTGCTTTTCTTGTACCTACTGCCCAACATACTTTTGAGGGTCATTGCTGTGCATCTATACCCCCACCACATGTTTGAAACAATATCTAAAGACCATTTAAGATCATATAACTTTTGTGACTAATAATTTTCTCCTTACCCACTCATAATGGATTATTTTGGCAAAATAAGTTATTTTCAAATTTTAAAATTTTTGGCAAAATATCTTATGATATCAAGTTTGAGTTGCTAAACTTGAGAGGGTGATTTCATGCACATATTAGATCTTTGAATTTTCTGTGAATGGTCGTGTCAAAGTTATGCATAAAGGTCAAGAGTAAGGATCGATGTTCTTATACTGTTGATGTGTATGAATGGTCTATGTCAAATGTATGCATCAAGGTTGATTATCTGGGAATATCAGGGGATTCCCAACAATGGGTTTTTTTTCAGAAGTTCCTAATTGTGCATTTGTTTTCTTTTGTGAAACTCTTTTGAGGCATGTAGTTAAAGGGCCGAGGTAGACAGTGACCTTGTTTGTGCAACCGGTATGGATGACGACAGTAAGTTCCTCACCGGATCTCACAAGGTACTGTTCTTGGTTCATGTATGAGATAATACTAGATTATCCTTATTTGTTTCTGTCAAACATAACTAGAGATTATCATGCTTAAGACAAATCCTCAAGGTACAAGAAAACATTAAGAGGCCAGTAGATATGTTGTGTTTCTAACATAATGTCCTACAATTTGTGCATACACAGTTTGAATTTCATTCATTCAGTGAATCTGCACTTTTTTTCTTTTTGAAGAAGGGAAAAATTATTTCAGTAATTCTATTTTGAAACCACATGCAGCCATCAAATCTGCAAACATCTGTGACAGCCACATGCATCTATGAATCTAAATAATAGACTGTATAGGAACCACCCACTGAAATAAGCCATGGATTGTAATGTTTAGCAATTCTCATCAATTTGGGACTAGAAAACGGCAGCATATTGAGAAAACATCATAAGATGGGTTGGCTCTATGTTTCCCTTCAACCTATCACCCCTTCAAAGTAAAAGGCCCTAGAAGCTATAATGTTCATCACCAACTCATCCCTTGAAAGAGAGGATCAAGGACCATTTGATTATTGAAAGTGACAGCAAGGTGGCAGTGGATTGGGTTAAGAAGGTGGAATTATGTCCTGATGTTTATGCTTTTATGATTAAAGATATTGTTCATAGGCTTAATGTATTAGAAGGTGTTGTTATATTGGTAAATAGGACAACCAATTTAGAGGCTGATGCCTTAGCTAAAGAAGGAATTGGCTGAATTAGTGTTGTTTAGTATGGGTGGTTTACGGGTGTTTTGTGTTTATATGTTTTTGTTGGGGGTGTTTTGTAGGTTGTATCTTATGTAATTTCTTTTGTTCAATAAAATCCTAAGGCACTCTTTTCCTCCTTCCGCTGATTAAGGAGCTTCCCTACAATCTCCATGAATCAAGAAGGGGGTTTTTAACGGGCCTGAAATTCTTATCAAAAAAAAAACTCATCCCTTGTACAAGTCAAGAAACAACTTCACATGAGCTCATAATAATTCATTTACGAGTCTAATCAGTTAGGCCACTGAAGACTATATTTTATATATATGAATGTTTCTTTGATTAGTAATACTGATGAAAAATAAAGAATTTGATCTGAATGTTGATACCTAGTAGTTAGTCTTTTAACCAACTGATGTGTTGGACATGCATTGGAATCATAGAGTCCATGATAATCCATAAGAATTTTCTGGACCACCATAATTCTTTCGCTATTGATTGGTAGGCCATGATAAATCCATGATTGAAAAAGTTTTTGTTTGTGAATCTATCAAAGTATTACTGATATAAAGGAATATCCATGTGAGTCACGACCTATGTCCTTGAACAGATCCCCCCATTAAAGTGGGTCATTCTTGACCACTTAATCCACTTCCATTTACTGGTCAAAGTATACAGACCTATGGCCTTTTGTCCTTGAAGACCACAGACGTGCCAAGTTGCTATTTCGCTGTCTAATGTCTATGTTGGAGAAGAGTTTAGTGCTAGAAATTCTTGAGGAGTTGACTTGAAGAATGAGTTTTAAGGTCAACTAGAATGAAATAATCTATGTCTAATCCATGGATGGATGTCTTGAAATCTAGATTTGGTGATTCTGCAATAATATTAAAAGTTACAAGAGTGGTTAGTATAGTACTTTGTGTATGATGGTTCGACCTTGAACGTTTAATCCCTTAAATATGGAGGCTTAATCAACCAAGTTTCGAAACTTTGGTTCTTTACTCGTCGTAGAAATCGAACAATGTCGGATTGCTAACCTAGTTTCTTTGTGTTTCATCTTGCAACACAGGCATAGAACAGGTCTTAAATCCTAATTATGAGGAAACATGTAGGGCAGTAACCTAAAGACTCATATTAGCTAGTGGAGATGTTAATTTTTATATATATCTTGCTGGTCTCCACTAGATAGCATTTCATCCATATGATGTGTTAAGTCAAGTCTTCATCATCATCATCATCATCTAGCCATGATAAAAAAAAAAATCAAATGGGCCATGATTGTTGTTTGTTCCACAATGGTTAACTATGATAAGCTGCAATTTGCAAAAGGCATAGATGTTGGGGACACAGGGCCATGTGATTCCTCAGTACATGTCTCTAAAACCATTCTTTCTTCACCACTCAATCAGCCTCGAGATTGTTGACCAACAAAGCATTTCACTCTAAAATACAAAATTCTAATGGATAGTCACCTTGTGCCAATTACTTGCAGCATTTCCTCATCCACACTACTTATCACAGAACAATCTCGACTTATGGGTTTTCGCTTGCCGAGAATTGTGAATGCTAAGGCGAGTCTGAAACGGAGTCTTTCTTCCTCAGAGAAGACGGTGGTGCCTAAAGGCCACTTTGCTGTTTATGTTGGAGAAGTTGAAAAGAATAGATTCGTTGTTCCGATTTCGTTCCTCAAGCATCCTTCCTTCCAAAATTTATTGAGTCAAGCAGAAGAAGAGTATGGATTAAATCATCCTTTGGGTGCTTTGGTGATCCCCTGCAGCGAAGAAGCTTTCCTTGATCTCACTTGCTGTCTGCGAAGATCATGAGAGTTGATATTAAAATGGCTAACTTAGCAGAGATTAACAATGTAGCTTAAAAGCAAGTGTAAATGGTAAATTTGATTACTTTTTGTAAGGACATTATAAATGAGAAAATTCCTTTTATCAGACATTCTTGCCATTGTTATTTTTCTTTGATCTATAGAACCCCTAAAGAATACACCATGTCCTACAATAGAATCTGCTCTTTCTTCTGTAAAAATAAGCAAATCACCGGCAAATGACAAGTGAGTGAGTTTCCCCCTTAGGGAACTTAGGGTGGTATTTGAAGACTCCACTCTCAACAACAAAGTCTAGAAGCCTTGAAAGAATATTCATTGAGAGAAGAAATAGGTAAGGGGGCAAAGGGTCCCCTTGCCTAATACCTCTCCCTCCTTTCAAGTACTCAATTAAACCTATGTTTATAGAAAAAGAAAAGGATTGTGGCGGTGGTTGGCGATTAACCCTTTCTGGTTTGGACAGAATCTCCCTTTCATCAGTCTTGTTTGGTGACTTGTATACTAACCCATAATGTTGGTTTCATGCCTAAGATGTAATGGTTATTAGTAGGCTGATAGATAAAATAGATATGGTCTTCAATCGTAATCACAAGCAAACACGTAGGGTAGCAAATCAACTAAAATGGGATCAATATCCAGTATTATTTTGCTTCAAAATGTTTCACCCATATGATCTGCTAGGTACAGTTGTTATCAACACTAGCAGGCCATGATTCAATGATAGTGTTTAATTTCAAGTGGATCATCATTATTGGTTTCAATGAATGGTAAGGCATTGTAGATTGCGACATAAAGACTATATGGTGGGGTTAATTTGTCAAGAACTATATCATCATTTTGAAGGCAATCTCACGTGATTCCCCATAGCCAGTGTCTTTAAAGATCATCTTTACGGACTCTCTCTTCACCACACAATCAACATGATTGCTAATAAGGCATTTGGTCTTTATAAATACACCTATGATGGAGAGCCGCCTTGTGCCAATTACTTGCAGCATTTCCTCATCCACACTACTAGTCACAAAACAATCTCGAATTATGGGTTTTCGGTTGCCGAGAATTGTGAATGTTAAGGCGAGTTCGAAACGGAGTGTTTCTTCCTCAGAGACGACAGTGGTGCCTAAAGGCCACTTCACTGTTTACGTCGGAGAAGCCAAGAAGAAGAGATTTGTCGTTCCTATTTCGTTCCTCGACCATCCTTCCTTCCAAAGTTTGTTGAGTCAGGCTGAAGAAGAGTACGGATTCCACCATCCTATGGGTGGTCTAACGATCCCTAGCACCGAAGAAGCCTTCGTCCATCTCATTGGCAGTCTACAAAGCTCATGAGAGATGACATCAAAATGTGTAACCCTCAACTGACAAATACCAATTTCACATAGGAAATAGCAAGTGCAAATGGCAGGTTTTTTTTTTTTTTTTGCAATCCCATTCCATTTGTGAACTTAATAGTATTCTTTGCAACCAATAGAGTTAAGCTTGCTCATTTCAAGAAAGCAAACAAGTCCCCGTAAAGAAGATAGGGAATAACTCCACTCATTTGTAGTCCTTGACATGGCTGACGTCTTTTGGGAGGAGAGTAATGGTTTTGTGACAAGTAATATCACAGCCATTCTTTATTATCCGATTTCATGTCGAGTGACCCAGTGGAAACATTTATCCCACATAACAAAGAATAAAAAAGGAAATCCTTGAATTTAAAAGCTTCACTTGTAATTTATCCCCGTGATAAAATTAATTTCCAGTTAAAAATTATGGGATTTCTCCCTTTTGTAGGGTCCTTTTTCCCCTGCACATTCCTATGTTATTTCGTAGTAGGTATCGATAGCGATCGAGTGACCATAATAAACACAAACAAGGCCACTAATTGACGGTGCCACTCAGTACAGGATGTCTAAAGATCCATTTTTAAGATGAACCCTCCACTGTTTAACCTACACGAAAATTCTTATCAAGTTCCAATGTTGATATTTCATCCAGAACAATATGAATGAAGGGTGTTATCATGTTTCAAGCTTCATTCAACGACCCATATCTTCCATTTTGGGGTGGGTCCTTGGTAATAATTGAGCCAGGTATTGTTCCAGGCTTGCTTTGAATTTCCTGACCTGGAGAAGACAACACCATGTGAACCACTTATGAACCCCCTTTCATCTATATAAACACACACCATGATTGACTTCGTTAGCAAAATCCCAAGTTCATTCTAAACAGAAGTTTTTCATTCACTTTCCAAGATCCATCTACTGAACAAAACCATGGGATTTCGTCTTCCACGCATTGTTAATGCCAAGAGAATTCTTGGAGCATCATCTCCCATGGCAACTGATGTTCCCAGGGGATACTTTGCGGTTTACGTAGAAGCAAACCAGAAGAGATTTGTGATACCTGTGTCCTACTTGAACAACCCTTTGTTTCAAGAGTTACTCAGTCTATCGGAAGAAGAGTTTGGATACGATCATTCCAACGGTGGTCTCAGAATT